CTTGCTAGAACGGTGAATTTGAAGAAAATAATTATTCTTAGTTTACTGTAAGACAAGACATAAATACATAAATATTATTATCTTCTTTGACACATAGTTTGAAGTTTGATTGCCATTAGAAACGTTTATTTTAAAATTTTTTTGGCATTTTTTATTTATTAGATCCTTTTTTGCCTTTTTAATAAGTCATTATTTCATTTATATTAATTTTTTCGAGTTGTATATTAAATTCCATCAGTTTATTTATTTAATTTTAATTTTTCAGATAACATTCAGTACACACGTATTCAATTAATAATATCTTTAATTTAAAATATTTCACAAATGCTAGATTTCTAGATTTTAATATTTTTTAAATTATGATTTTTATATACCTATACTTAGAGTAAATTGTGTAAGTACTGAATTTGTTAGATTTTAATGCACTAAATGCACAGCCCTTATTATAACTAAGTACTAACTACTTGCACTAGTAATTGTTACCTACCTTTACAAGTAGTCAACACTTTTCTGGTTGAAATTAATTAATAATTTGTTTTTATGTTCTAGATGGAATTTACTTTCACCTTAAAGTTTTTACAGGGTAGTGTGGTCCCTATTGTCACCACACAAGCCACTGCTTTGGGCACACCTTTGAACGCCGAACTAGCCACTCCCCCTGAAGTTACCCAAACGGTAGTTCAACCACCACAACAACAACAACGTGGTCGTGGTGTGGGACGCGGACGACGTAATTGGCGAAGTGGATATCGAGGGTGGCGGGATGTTAACCGCGAATGGCAAGGTGATAATCGCAGATGGTAAGGCCGCGGGTGGTATGACAGAGATCATGGCAGTAGACGTCGTGCTAGCGGTGGTGGTGGTCATCAGAGCGACGGTGGTGTTGGAACTGGAAGAAAACAAAACAATGGGCAGCATGGCGAGGCTAGTGCCAGGGGCGGACTGGCCAGGGTGGCTAGGGGGAAATATCCCCCTGGGCCGGTCTAAATTGTGAAATTTGGGCCGGTCGTTGAAGAATTAATAGCTGACGCACAGTTTTTACACCCTAGTTGTTTTCAAGAAGATTTCATAGAATCAATTCATAGAATCAATTTTTTTTTATTTTTGTGTCTGTCCTCACGTTTAAGAACAGTAAAAGTGCTTGGATTTTCTTCAACAGTAGCTTTTCTGATAGGAAATTGAATCTAGTTGGTACTTTGGGGAGTCAATAGTTTTCACAAGCGCCGGGAAAAACAACATAAAAATTAAGGAAAAACGGGAATTTTTACGCAAAATCTGTTTTCGAGAAAATCGATTTTGGTTTTTGGTGTAACTCTAAAAGAAATGAACGTATATACATGAAATTTTCACTGGCTGTTTATATTTGCATTTTATATACACAATAACATTTTCAAAATATTTTGATTTATTTTGAACTGTTTAGGGACATTTTCATTTTCCATTTTTTATTAGTTTTTTTTCTAAAAATATCAATAACATTTTATTTGTTGGTTGCGAAAGCTTGAAAATTTAATAGAAGGCTCCTAGTATATTGTTTCAAAGGCAGATGAAAAAAATTAAAAATCCTTAGTCACAATTTTTTTTATAAGCATTTAAAGTTCAAAAATTGACAAAATATGGAAAAACCACTAAAATTAGCAAATTATTTTTCTTTTTAAATCTAAGATTTAAAAATGTAATACAAGATTCCTTATAAGATTATCTACCTTTATCAAAAAAAAAGTTCTATAAGAAAGTCAAATTAAATTTTTATGAGCGTTTGAAATACAAATTTTTACAACATTGGATATTCACTCGATTTACCATGTAACTATTTCCTTATTTTGTTGTAATTCAAAAACGAATAATTGTAGATACATGAAAATTTCACTGAATGTTTAAATTAGCATTTCCTATACATCATACAATTTTGAAAATATTTTGACTCTTTTTGAGCTATTTACGGACATTTACCGCTTTCGATTTCTTTTAGTTTTTTTTTTCTATAAATATCAATAAAGTTTTATCTGTTGGGCCAAAGAGTGAATAAATTTAATACAATTCTCCTGATATATTGTTACAATATCAGTTGAAAAATATTAAAAATACATAGGCACATTTTTTTTGTATAAGCATTTAAAGATCGAATTTTGACAAAATTTATCAAAATCTCGAAAATTATCAATCATTGTAATTAATAAATTATAAAATGTTCAGTTTTTATAGCTAAGGATTGCAAATTTAAAATAAAGGTTCTCATAAATAGTTCATACTGTAACCAAAAAATCTAAAAAATATATGAACACAGTTATTTTTTACAGACATTTTAAATTCAAATTTGGACGAAATCACATATTAAAAAACCTAGAATAACTATTTTAGTTATTTTGTTGTGATTAAATAATGTTATTCGTGAGTACTTGAAACTTCTAAAGTGTACTATTATATATCTTATATATCACGGTAATATATATCTATTTGGTAAAAAAGCTTAATATATTGTTACAATGGCGTTTGCAAAATATTAGAAATTCAGTTAATATTTTTTTTTATAAGCATTTAAAGTTCAAATCTTGACAAATTACGTACAAATCATGAAAATGTGATTTACGATGGATATTGTTGTTTATAAATAGTTGCTATTGGTTATAGGAGAAAAAATTAGTAGAAATAATCATTTTTTTTTGTATATTGGTTGCCATTGGTTAATCGGGAAGATCCAGTACAAGCATGCATCAAAATAATTTTTGCACATTGCCTACCATGGTGGCAGAGTAGTGAGTTGCACTTACTGCAGCGAGCTACAAACAAAAGGAGTTGAACAAACACAATTTTTTTAAAGTTTTCATTTTTTATGAGCAACGGATTACGTAGGATCGACTAGTTTTATTATATTCAAAAAATATATACCTAAATCATTAATTAATAAATTAAGCGTGTGATAAATTAAGCGAACGATCAACTACTGACCGACACAATAATATATTAATACACACTACGACTACTGGACTCCGTATGACTACGATACAGTTACATATTGTATAGTAGAACATTGTTTGCATATTATTAATTGTGAGTATGATTATTTGTAAGTTTTTAATAGGCAATGAAAGATAATTATAACTGAAATGGAATCCTAGTCATTTAAATATATTTAAGATTCTGAGATCTACATATCTGCCTCTGGCTATGGTATTTATAGGATCCAACGATTCTCCCTGGATATCTTATATTTAACTGGACGTTCCCTCGACCATGTTATAGTGGAATTTTGGTAATTCTACTATAAACACAGAGAGAGCAAAAAAGTTTTTGCTATGTATTGTACATTTATATAAACGGACTACGGAGATAACACATTATATGGGTGTGACGTCCACTTATGAAAAATCAGATTTATTTATAGTATTTTAATCGTTAATAACATTGTAGTTTAAGAAGCCCGCCAGAAATATGACATACCTGCAGAATACCTTCACGGCATCCATGGTCCTAATGAAAAGATTATACCATAAGACAAGTGGTATTTCATTTATTCACCAAACATATTATATCTAAACATACTACTACATACAATTTAGTTGAGGTAGGTTTAATCAACAAATACTAACAGAAAAAAATCATATAATAATTTAAAAAAAATACAAGTCAATGATTTAGATACCGACGCTTTAACACTAATAAAAGTATAAAATATAATAATTTATTGTATTTTACGATACATACATTCGATTGGATTATTTCCATAACAGGCTTAAAATGTTATATTTTTATGTAATAGTAGAACTGTGTGGAAGTACAGCAGAAAAATGTTATGTATAGCATAATAAATCAGTTAAACCATTTCAGGTCTCAAACTACAAATTAGGGCAGTATTGTGTGCGTGTCGCCTAACAGAAAATTTCATCGAGTCTAATTAAATAATATGGTATATACATCATACCTACCTGTGTATTTTTATTTTTTTGGTAGTGCTAGACGTACTAAAAGGGTCACATTTCATAGAAATAATAAGGTATAGGTACCTCGTTTTTACATTGCACGCATTTATATTTTTATAAGTACCTATATTATTATAACATACCCTTTTTTGATTCAAATTTATACGTTACTAACATTGGGGTTTAGTAAGTTCCCACACGAAACATAGCAGGTAAGCGGGTACATATGTAAGTTCCCTCACGGAAAAAAATACACCCATACGTAAGTTCCCACACGAAAATTTATTCAGACTTAGAACTGACAGCTTAAACGTAGTTGGTCCAAATATATAATAAAAATTAATAATATAATGTATAGATATAGTCCACTTATTATTTGTACTTTCGCGAGCGTTTGTAGTATCAAGACTTGTATCAGAACTAGCACTAGCCCAAATACTAGGGGGAAACTATATCAATAACAAAATATCAGATTACAATACTTAAAAATAATTACACAGTATGACTATGTGAAGGGTTATTGAGCTTTCGCAATAAGCCAAATAAAATTTAATTTTTTCTATTACTATTATTATAATTATTATAACTATTATTATTTTATACCTACTTATACAAATAATATGAGGACCATACCTACACATTATATTATTAATTTTTATTATATGTTTGGACTAGATTTAATTAAAAAATTGATTGTACTTTTTTTATGAAACACAAGCAGATTTTAACCAAACCAACTACATTTAAGTTGTCAGTCCTAAGTCTGAATAAAATGGGAAGGAAGTTTGTATTTGGTGTAATTTTTTTCATGTGGGAACTTACGTATGCATACCTGGGTGTGATTTTTACCTGCTATATCTCGTGTGGGAACTTACATTCGCCCCTAACATTGAGGTTGAGCAATTGAGCTTATAATAATAATATTATTTATATGAAGCCAGTAGAGTCACCTGAAATGGCCCGAACCAACAAAGGCCAGCAGGTTATCAAACTTTGAAAACGATATAAACGTGTAAAATATCAAAAAATTCTCGATGCGAGTCTGGAACACCTCGTACAGTTAGATTATGATATACTATATTATATACATTACTCCGTGATTGTTGTCGATCATTATAAATACTATAATATGATACATTAGTAGGTACACAGTAGGTACCCTATAGGTATATTGGTCGAGATTTTTCGTTTTAAAATTAGTTACTTTCTACCCGAAACATACATTTCGTGCGTTTTTTCCTCCCTTGTTCCTGGAGTGGTAAACTGGTAAACAGTGTAAAATAAAACCAAGTCATAACACGTATAATTTGACAATCGCCTCGGCAGTTCGTGTACTTGGATGTGTTTATATAGGTGGTTTTTTTTGTGTAGACGAATCGCGTGAGTTAGATTAGGTACTGAAATAAAATAGTAGGTACATCATATATTATCGAACCAGCTAGTTGTATATTTGGAAGAAAACTTAATTATATCTACCGAAATAAATTGGTTAAATACATTGATGGGTATAATTTAAAAAAAAATTAAATATTTTGGGAACTTAAACATACGTATATTATATATATTATGTTTAATGTAGGTAATACATCGTAAAATACTCGAATTAATATATTATTTATCGGCTAATTAGGACATAATGTTAACTACATAAGTATACCGTATATACGTACCTATAATGTAATGGAGTAGTGGTTTCCCATTATGCTTGAACTTTGTTTACGGGTCCCGCAGACGAGTTTAAATTAAAATCAGTATGTTCGTTCATATAATATACGAAAATATTATTTTTTCTCTTGCGTGACGTGTATAAAATATATGGTCAAAAATAAACGGCCGCGACGAAGAAATGTTTCCTTAATCTATCATTTTTAAAATAAAACACAA